AACAGATCAAAAGTGGTATTAGTCGCATGTTTCTTTGCGATTTCTACCACTTTTGATCTCCTTATATGGAATGAACTGTTAGCTTTTGTTCGAGCATGTCCTAAAAGAGAATAATTGTTCCCCTTTATACCCGAACGGGTATAAAACGCGGTTAGTCACTTTAAAAAAGTACAAATAAAAATTTGCGCCAGCTGCGATTCGAACCGGGGTTCTCGGTTTTGTTAAGCGAATACTAAGTGCGTACATATCATTCAATCGTTAATATTACCCTTGAGAGATGAGTCGGGGACTAATTGATCTCCAATAATACCCGTAAGGGATGAGTCGAGACTAATTGCTCTCCAATAATACCCGTATGAGACAAGTTGTGACTAATTAATGCCCAATTGTACCCGATTGAGAGTAATCAAGGAATACTCTCTTTAAAGACACTGGACCACAAATTTCAACTTTTTCTCTTTACCAGAAACGCCGTTATGAAATTCTTATGTAAAATCAGCCCCTGATTCCGAAAATCAAGGTTATTTTTAATTCTATGGTATCGTTTTTGAAATATTTGCAATTTACCGTTTTTGCAAAAAAAAAAAAATTGGGTCCACTTTATCATATATATCTCAAGAACGAATTAAGCAATTCCAAAACGGTTTGAAGCTTTTAAAAGGTAATAAAATTTTCTATAAACTGTGCATACAACACTTTTTGCTAGGCCCTGTAGATTCAAAGATAACGAACAATCATTACCGATTTTTTCAATTTTTTTTGTAAAAATATAAAAAAAATTGTACTTTGCGGGGAAGGATCTCGAAAACCTTTTATTTTTTTGCAGATTTTTTTTTTCTCCCTAAGCTCTGTTGTATTACAAAAAAAATAAGCTATCATCGAAGAACATCGATGCAAAACTACGTAAGTTATAAGCGATCAAATAAAAATACCCAGGTTGCGCAACTTCAATGTATGTACCTATACATACATACATATATTAAAGGTATAAAGTGCAAGTGAGATATTATCCGGATAAACGAATAACACCATAACAATGATAACACTTTTTCTTTAAATAAATCAAATAGTACTTTTAATACCCGAATTGTATTATAGTAGGTAGAGTGGTTGCATCGAAAGGAAGAGTGGTTGGGTTCGAAACCTGCTGTAGGCATGTAGTTATAAACATGTATTTCCGTCAGTTATGGGTAAGTATGCAGGTAGATTTTCAAAATTATAAGACACAGAAAATTTCTAAAGCCTACATCTAAAACAGGTAGTATTTTCTTTTCCCGGCTTGTTATAAACCTTTCTGTCTAGGTAAGATTTGATTTTTTCAATTTTATTCTTGTTCCGAGTATAAATATGAGTTAATGCGCTTTGAAACTTCATAACATCTTCAAGGCTCGCCGGAGATAGTTCAGTTCATAAGTCTAATTTCAAAACCGTGATTTATTAAAAAAAATAAAATGAGTAAAAGGACGCGAGAATTTGAGTGTAATAAGGATCCAGATATGTTCTGTTTCATGTGTGGCCAATATACTATCATAAGGCGACGACGAGTGTTCTCAGATCATATCAAAACTTTATACTCCAAGTATTTTGGAATTGAGCCTAAAAATGCTGAAAAACCATGGACACCGAACACTTTGTGTACATCGTGTCGAGTAGAATTGATTCAGTGGGAATCAGGACAACAAACAAAATTTGATACACCAATGATATGGAGAGAACCTACTTGCCATTCAATAGAGTGTTATATTTGTCAAACAAAAGTACTTGGCGTTGGAAGATCAAGAGGAGTAACCTATGCTAGCGTACCTACAGTGACATTACCAGTACTACATTCAACGGCAGTTGCGGATCCAGTTCCATTGTCAACAGTAACATCTGAGTGCGGGGGATCAAGTTGTACTGAATTTCGCATGGAAAACGAAAGAAACGTTCTGTCACAAGCACAACTTAATGATTGGATAAGAGATTTGGAACTATCCAAGGAAAAGGCCGAGATCCACACTTCTCGTATGCAACAATTTAAATTTGTGTCATCCGATGTTAAGGTGACATATAGTAGAACTCGCCACGAACCATTTTCCAAACACTATACCAAGAAAGACAGTATATGCTACTGCAACGACATCCCTGGTTTATTCAAAGAGTTTGGTCAAACATATGATTCAAAAGAGTGGCGATTGTTCATAGACGGCAATAAACTGAGTTTGAAGGCTGTATTATTGCATATTGGTAACAAAAAGCCTTCTATCCCGATTGCACATGCAGTAAATACAAAGGAAACCTACGAGGAAATGCAAAAAATACTCAAATTTATCAAATATGAAGAGCATGATTGGAAAATATGTTCTGATCTCAAAGTCGTTGCAATGCTATGCGGTCTACAAAGTGGCTACACCAAGCACTGCTGCTTCCTCTGCAAGTGGGATAGCCGAGCTCGTAAGGACCACTACGTCAGAAAGGATTGGCCGGAAAGAGTCGAGTTTACCGTTGGTGTGGATAACATCAAATACACCCCTCTTGTCAAGAAAGAGAAAATCATACTTCCACCCTTACACATCAAGCTCGGTCTCATTAAAAACTTTGTTAAGGCTTTG